GTGTTCTTTGTGATTATAAAATGCTGCATCTTGTAAAATATTTCCAGTTCTGTTAACTTGAGAAGTCGAGTACTAATGCTTATTATAAAAGTATCATGGTCTTTTAGAATTGTAGGAGCCTAAGCAGTATATTTCATGGTTCATTTGAAAAATTAAGTTATAATTATTATTGTATGTAAGATTACAGTTTTGCCATAACACATTTCTATTGTGATTCTCAGACCCACACAACAAAAGTTATAAAACAGGAGATTGTCTTCGAAAAAAAGGAACTATTTACAGAATGGGACTGGAGGTAAAATTCCCATTTTCATTCCTGGTCCTATGACAGATACATCTTCCATAGCATGCCTACCACTGGACATAGTATTTTTTTTCAAAGTCAGTCATAATAAGCAAATCAGTTGGTCTTCAATACATTTTGTACTTTCTCTATGATGTGCATCACTCAGTGATACAACAGATACCTAAAAGTGCTACTCTCATTTGATTTAATGACCATGGGTTTGGCTAGTTACAATGAAGATGGAAAGAAGCAGTTCTTGTGTGGAGGAATCGTCACAGGTAGGAGTGTCTGTGTGCTGCTGGTACGGTTCCTTTCTTAGAGAAATGAAATTTCCAGTTGACCCCTGTGCCCAGCACATTCTCCAAAAAAGATCCACATTCTCATTCATATTCATAAATCCTGCTGTTTCCACTCATTTGTATGCACATATTCTTCCCTGCATTCACACAGGTCAATGCTACAGCTTGATGTGGTTGATAGAAATCCTACAGGGTTGTGAGAGAAAGCAGCACCTTGTCCATAAAAGTCCATGGCAGTATGCTTCTTAACATGCTATTAAAGCAAAATGCACATCTTTAACGGCTCTCTTTCGCCTACAAATTTCTGCTGATAGCTAACAGTCACCCAAACTGAGTGATTATAAAAAGAAATGGCAAGGCTTCATATTCACAATTACATTCAGAAAAAGCCTTACTGAGTCTATGAATACCCAGCAGGCACTGCGCCTGTGGTTCAAATGTCAGTCTTAGACTGCAGGCCAGCTACAAAGAGCGTTTTTCATGGAGTATTTCCCCCACCTGTCATGAAAATCAGTACTGTCCAGTTTAGGTAAATTTGTCTTGAAATTTGTCATCATGTTCACATGAACAAAAAAACATTGTGACTAGAAAAGACTTGAGACAATAAAACTCTTGTCTTAGGATTCTCCAAATCTGTTTTCACATACCTTTTATGCTTCCCTGAGGAAATGAGTATTATTTACAGTATTTTGCTAGTCTTCTCATGGTATTCTCACTCACATGTACAATGCTTGCCACTTTTCTCTACACCTTCTTAAGTGATTGCCGTGCTTCATTGGCAGTGCAGTCTGAAATAGGGGAATGGATTCCAGCAATGCTGGCTAATTCAGACCCTGGGCTGCTTGCAAGAGTGTGGTGGGGTGTGACAGCAGAGACAGCAGACTTCAACACAAATGATCTTGACACTTAATGGGGGATAGTTCAGCCTCAGAAAAATTTGCAATGCATGTGTGGCTATCTTTGAAAAGTGTCTGGAAATCCCAAGATCTGTATCAGGGTCAGTCTCTAATGAAATTTTTCTCCTGTGGCATGGTTTTATGAGCAGACGAGGAATTGTCTAATGAAGGGCACCTTGTTTAGACAGCAAGCAGCCAACGATACTTTTCAGCTGAGCAAGCACATTCCTGGTTAGAAACCACTCCTTTCCAGGCTTTTGCCAACCCAGGGAGGAAATATCCCAGCAAATGAGCTGGAGAGAAGGGCATGCCTGCTAAAGGCTGCCTGCCAGAGCGATGTAGAGCTGTGCACTGCAGCCCTGAGGCCCTGACCACAGCAGCTCTCTCCTGGCTTCAGGCATCTGCTCCCAGAAGAGACAGCAAGGGAGACAGGATGTTCCAGGATGTCACCTGTCTGGTTGGCCCCAAGAAGATGAGCAGGAGTCAGGGCTCCACAGGCTTCTTGCATCTGTTCCCTGGCTCACTTGGTACCTGGGTGTTTTCTTCATGTTTTCCTACTGTCTCCACAAATTGGTGTCCAGACTCTGGGCAGAACTCAGGTTTGAAGATACTGCCCGATGCACACTCTGCTTTGGTGCTTGCTGTCAGGGAGGGGCAGGAGGGAGGATGAGAAACCCTTTTAAAAGGAAGAAACAATAAGGGAGGAGAAAAAAATCACACATTTTCATTGGACCACAATTCATTGTATTGCCATTTCATTTCCACAGGCCTGTGGCCTCCCTGGGGTGCACAGGGCTCCAGTTTCGCAGGCAGCTTGTTCTGGAACTACTCTTCTCCCTTCCCCTCCTCCCTGCCAAGTGCAGACATTAAAAATAACTGGGTTCCACAGAGATGGTGTCATTTGAAAGTCTGGCTTCATTTGGCACTTCATTTGGTTAAAAAAAATGACGACTTAAAAAATGTAACTTGTACAATCAGAAGCTGTGTATTGCAATTCAGAGCTTGCTGGGTGACTTGTACGGAGTGCAATTCTTTTTCTTCAAGGTCAGCCAGATGTAGTTGATAGTCTCCCAGTCATTACGTGCCTTCATACAGGGAATGGGCATCTGCTTAGGCAGGGAAATACTGGAGGTTTATCTGCACCTGTGAGCCAGAAGAGAAAGTACACAGAGACTCTGCTGCCTGGCAGAATGGAGCCCCCATTCAGGTGGGAGATGCAGAAGTTAGTGTGCAGAAGACTTTAAAACATAGATGTCCCAAGGAAGCTGCATGAAGGGAGCTCTCTGTTTTTCCTTTCCCTGTACGCTGTCAGAAAATGAAGTAAGGACAAAGACTAACTCAGCTGGGCCTCAGCTCAGAATTCCACTTGGACCATGTCTTGAGGCTGACAGCCATAAGGCCCTGTGGCAAAGATCTCTCCCTTGTTGTATTCCAAAATTCTTGGACAGGAGATAAGACTTAACCCGTGTCATGCTCATCTTTGTTGGATTGGTACCTTAATCCAAGGATCAAAGAAAATCCCCTGTACCAGGATTGTGCCATAGCATTTAAGTACATGGAGACTTTTTCAAACACACTGACCAGGGCTGACTTCCTCATGGCTACTGGACAAAGGATCTTTTGGACCAGGCCAAACAAAGTACAGTGTCATCTCACAATAGCAGTGCTACAGGCAGTGACAGGACACCAGGAGAAGAAATAACATGTCAGCTAGAGGAAACAAACAAATTGTTTCCTGGCTAACCTTGTAAGTACTCAAACCTACAGCACAGCTGGTATGTCTAATGCTGATCAGGATTCTTATACAATTAGATAAAGCCCTTTTTTTTCCTTTTCTCTTGAAATAAGTGTTCTTTTAAAAAAATAATTAAGGGGAAAGATCAGATCTCTTTCGAGGAATATCTTTTAAAAAGTCATATGTAAGTTCAAAAAATAAAATCACCAAAATATATGAATGCACAAATGATGGATGCTGCACTGTAGCACTTTCTTATATCTCCCTTGCATTAACAAAGGACATTTGTTATGACGAGGTGGCCCTCTTCTACTCTTAAAAAAAACCCATATGTACAATCTCACGTATATATTAAGCTTTTCTCTGTGCAATTTCACTTAAACTTCCTATGTCTCCCTCCCCGCACATTGCCACCTTTAGGCTACTCACACTTCGTTGCATAGGTACAGGAGGAACACATCTTCAGCAGGGCGATTAAGTGTTGGGCAGATGGAGAATGAGTTTAGTTATGGGGCTTAGCAACTTCTCCCCACTTCCATGCCACAACTACCCAAACATACAAACAAGCAAGGACAACAGGTTAGAAATACCAATAATTGGAGCCCAATGCAAGCCCTGATCCTATTCAGTGAGAGATTCCTATACCGACATGCGTTTTTTCCTCTTGGTGTTTCATATGTTCCCTTCTGAGGGAATTCCTAACGAATAGCTCCAATATTCTTTATAAGAAAAATAAAGGCTTAGGTCTTCTATTTACCCACATAATGTTCACTTTGCACACGAACCCATCTCCCAGACACGCTAAAGCATAAAACCTATAAAAGTGCACTCAGAATGGAAGTTGGTTTGTTGACCTAGTGGGATTTTCTAAGCAGATGGGGACATGTCAGCTGTGCTCTGTTGCCTAAAGCAAACCTGTCAGGACAGTCTGGAGTTCTCTATCTTTTCTGGCATCAGTCACTGGTGGAATCTGGGGGGAAGGACAGATGACCCACGGACCTGGCTACTATCTTGACGGACGAGCAGTGCAAACAGATTTCGAGCTCCACTTGTAATGATCCCTGAAAGAAGCAGCGAGGCTTACCAGATGGCCAAAGGAGCCACTTCTTGTCTGAGTTGTGGCAGGTAGAAAACTGGATGGACTGATCTTTGGGAAAGAGCTTCTAACAGATCCCAGGAAGACTTCTAGATGTTTCTCAGTCTTGACAAACAGCTGTCCAGAACTCAGTGGTGAGTGAAGCCCGTCGGTGATTCCTACTGCCAATCGCTTTTCCAACTTTTGCCATCCGGGGCCCTCCAAGCTAACAGCTCTAGCATGGTTCCATTGGGGGCCATGCTTAAAAACAAAACAAACAAAACAGACTTGGCAAAGATACCCAGAGTGCTGCCCTTTCTTGCAGCACATTGTGATGTGAACTGCTCTAATAAGTCAAATGGAAAACAGAGAAAAGACTATTCACAAAGTACTTATTTTTTCTTTGTACAAATGCTACCAACATGTAGCTTATGTATGTGTGTGTTTAAGGTGTAGAAAAAACCTTGGAAATACCATAATTCAGAAAGCTTATCAAAATATGTCTCCTTCCTAGGAAAAACGGACTTGGTTGGTTCAAACTGCTACAGAAGTCCACAGTTGTAAGACTGAGACACACAGCAAACAGAGCTGACTTTTCTTTTGGAAGGAAAAAAGAAATCTTTCTAGCTGCTCTTGGCTGGGTTCTCAGCAAGCGCAGGAAAGTTGGTATTTTCTTTCTCTCTCTCTTTCTTTCTTTCTTTTTTTAAAATTTTTGCTGTAATTCCACGACAGTTCCTGGAAGGGATTTCCCTGGGCCTCCTCCGTTCTGAAGGAGAAACTCTTTCCAACACCTGCGGTGGAAGGCGAGCGAAGGAGCAGCTCAGGCACAGCTCCCATGGCTGGCTCAGTCGATGAACCGCTGGCAGGCCTTCTTCCAGCGGCAGGCCGTGCACCACATGTCCCGATTCTCCATCCCATACACCTTCCGGCACTTTTTGCCCTCTCCCCTGGGCTTCCTGTAAGACAGGAGGAGGAAGTCAGAGGACATTCCGTGGAGGGATTGAAAGAGTGAGAGAAAAAAGTCAGGAAATATATAGTAGGGGCTTTGTCTAAGTTCAGATGTTTTCCTATACATATATACAATTGTTAGAAGCTCTAGGGTTATAGTAGCAAGTTCTATTTGTCCATCTGTGGACATGTTCATTTGACTATATTCACAAATTAGACTTAATGTGCAAATATAAGAAATACCAGTAGAGAGCAATATTGCTCTGTCAAGTTTTCAAGAATGTATTTCCCAGGGTTTCTTGGTTTCTGAAATTCTGGTTGGGAACTTCTTGAGTAAATCCTCCTTGATCTGGATTGAAGCCAAACCTTATAACTGGTTACTTTCTGAGGCTAAAGCAACATAGTTCTAAGTAGCCCAAGTATCACCTTTATCTGTTTTTCAGGAAAGCTTACTGTGAACTACTAACATCCCCCAAACAAATTTTCATTAACAGATGAAGAATGGGAAAAGCCATGGGGACAAAAAGGAAGGGTGCTTCTTGGCCTGTGGAGAAAAGTTACAGAAAATCGAATCTCTGGCTTCTCTGAGGTAGAAAATTCCCTGGAAGTGAAGTGGGTGAGTTTCAAGCAGTCATACCTCAGGCTGACCATCCCTCTGGGTGGGGAGGACAGGACGGTGTGGGCATGTTGCCTCTGTTCTCCTGTGCCCACTGGATGATGATGTGTTGGTGACACCTGGCAAATACAGGGGAAACCACGTTGATGGAGCAGCTCTGTATCTCAAATGTTCATTTAGCCATGCCACACGGGTAGTGACCCTTGACCACTAGATACTGCAGATAAAATACCTTTTTCTCAGAGACCACAGGTTAAAACAGATTGTGTGCGTGGAAGCTCAGGGCAGAAATTAAACACGTCTCCAAACAAATGGTCCATCAAAAATTAGTATTTTTTAAAAAATGATGATGACTTTCAAAGTAGAATCTTCATGAATCCTGTCAAGCAGAATAAGCTTTACAATATTTTGTTTAGAGGATCAAGAATACCTAGAAGAGCTATGAGATTTAGCCAAGGTTACCACAGCTAGGCAATGAGCACATGGCATTGTGCATGTAGGCCCTCTGTTTATGAGATCATTCACAACTGTAGTTTTCTTATAATGTATAAAGAAAGAAGCTAAGAGCCTGAAGAAATCACCCCCTCCACATGGGACTCGCTGAGCACTCACTATGTGCTAGGCATGCTTACAATAGCTTTGATTTTCACAGCTACCCCATGCAATAAGTGCTGTCATCGGCTTCATTTTGTAGATAAGGAAACAAGGAATAGGGCAGTTAAATGACTTGTACAAGTTCATAGAACTTTTGATGGAAAAGTGTGGGCTTGCCTGATGCCAGGGTGTGTAACCCTGCTATACTTCTCATCCCTGGTAGTGTGCCTCTAACTGCCCCTAGTTCCTCTTGGATCACTCACAAGGTCCCTTTGTGTAATCTGCTCTTATTACATTATTCCCCAAAGCCCTATCCTTTATTTTCTAATAAAAGAATAGTGATGTTTCAAGTAATTAAACAGTCCTTGACCACAGCAGTCAAGGGAGCATTCCTGAGGCACATTCACAGGATTAGTTTTCTCTAGCACAGATATATTCTGTTTCTTGCAATGTAAAGGGATTGCACATCAGTATTAATTTACCAGATTATTAATTTAAAAAACCTATGTGCAAAACAAAAACATTTTAATGATTGTTACAACAAATCTGAGTCATTCTATATAAAGTATGACCTTGTCTTTAAGCTAAAGCTAGATGAAGACTAGCAAAGGTCACATTTATAATTTATTTTTAAACGAAAGCTTTGGAGCTCTGCATGCGCTTTGTATGTAATCACGTGGGTCCTCTGAGGGCGGAATGCTCCTCATCCCTTCCCACAGTGCACTTGGCTTGTACAGAATGCAAACAACAGAACAAAATGCTTTCACTATCAAGGGCCACAGATCATCCCCTTTCAGTCTTCACAGCAACCCTGCAAAGTAAGTGCTATTACTTATATCTCTGAGATAAAGAAATTTAGAATTTGAGCAGTGAAGTGAATTACATGGCATCTCAGAGGTAAATGTAGTAGTGGTAGAAATTTATTACTACCACTAGAACGTGCTATATACGTAAACTTGCTATGTAAGTGAACCAGAGGCTAAGTACCTCTCATATGTTATTTAAATTTTCTGTGTGTGTGGAGGAAGGTTTATATGTACTAAGCATATGCTCTGCCACTAAACTACACCCTCAGCCCCTTCTTATTTATTTATTTGTTAGCCACGGGGCTTGAACTCAGGGCCCGAGCTCTTTTGCTCTGGTTTTCTGGTGGTTAACTGGAGATAAGAGACTCACGGACTTTCTTGTGCAGCTGGCTTTGAACTATGATTCTCAGATCTCAGTCTCCTAAGTAACTAGGATTACAGGCATGAGCTACCAGTGCCCGGCTCTCTCTACTAATTTAATTTGAAAACCATTCCAAACCAAACCAAACCTTCTGATGTCTGCTTTATGGAAGTACATTGTCAAGTCTGCTCAGTTAATAAATGGTAGAACTAGGGTTGGGATCTGCTTGTCCAACACTAGCTGGCCGTTATCCAGAACTCCCTTCTTGATAATGTCAGATTCCTGTTCTTCTCACTCTTCCATGCTGCCACACAACTGATAGAAGGCACAGGAAAAAAGTAAAAATAGACAAATGGAATTATATCACATTAAGAAGCTTCTTCACAGCAAAAGAAGTAATTAACAGAATTAAGTGATAATGTAGCTAGCTGGGCATGGTGGTGCACACCCGTAATCTCAGAACTTGGGAAGCAGAAACAGGAGGAGCATAATTTTGAGGCCAACTAGGATTCATCACAGGACCCTGTCTCAAAGAACAAAAACTTGACATCCTCAATACACAAAGAACTAAAAAAGTATGACCAATTCAATTCTTCCTAAATAATCAAAGTTTAAAAAGGAATGAAACAGACATTAGGAAGCTGTGCAAATAGCCAAAAAGTACATGAAAACTGCTCAATCTCAAAAGCCACCAGGGAAGTGCAAACTACAATCACAGCTAGATATCATCTTATTCCAGCTGGCTATAATCAAAAAAGACAGATATAACAAATGCCAACAAGGATGTGGAGGAAGCATTATTTTACTCCCCTCCAAGTAGTCTCTACATTTTAATCTTTGTTTCCTTTTTTTATTCTCATTTCTAAATAACTAAAACTATTAGTCTAGGTATCCATAATTTTGCATCCTGATTAGAGTTTATAGAACTCTAAATTATGGTAAAATTATGATGCCTCTCTCTCGGATGTGAGTGTATTTGTGCTAGATAAATTGATGCTAAGTGAAAGAATTTCCTTCCTCTGATCCCTATTTTACAGTAATGATAGCAGCAATAGTAAACATTCTGTAATGTTAGTCTCATGGCAGGCACTGTGCCATATAACACAACTCTACAAGGCAGCATTGGAATGGAGGAGATGGCTTTAGAAGATTTAGGAGATTGGCTACAGGTCAAAGTTCATAGTTGGCAGAGCCTAGATCTACAACTGAGCCTGCTGCCATAGCAACAATCATTGAAGTGTTGTGCCCTACTACAAATGTGTTGGAGAAATTTCTTTTCTTTGTGACTTTCTATCCCTCAAATGGAATAGAAAAGACCTTGACTGGTTTTAACTTCTTATAAAATGCACCCTTACTCATGGATTTATTAATTCAGTTTGACCAAGTATGACAAAAAATTTCAAAAATATTAACAGATTTCAAAACCTCAAATTTAAAATTCTCACAGGGACCTGAAGCAGCATGCTTGATAGAGAAAAGCTGTGAGTTGGTCCTGTGTTACTGTCAGTTGTGTTTAACTTACTTTGTGAGCTGCTGTTTTTCTAACCCTTGGTTTTATGAAAATATGCCGAAGTATCCAAGAGCAAATAGTGTCCAAAAGGCAAAACAAAAGTTAATGCGCTTGATTTAAGGAAGTGGCTCTGTGGCTCAAGTGGTAGAGTGCTTGCCTTGAGCTCTAGCTCCAGAATTCAAGCCCCACGACCGACAAAACAAACAAACAAACAAAAAATGTTGAAAAGTGGCATGTCTCTAATGGCACTTGGGTGGCATTATGGCAAAATTGAATCAAACCTGTGGTGCACAGTACTGAACGTTTTGCAGATTTTCTTCAGTGATGATCTTCTTGGAACAATATTCCTGAAGATACTAAGGTTTACTCTACTATTTTGAACCTTTTCCAGGAATTAAACAAAAACAAAACAAAAGACAAACCAACGAACAAATTGGCTAATTAACAGTTAACAATCTAACAACTAAGCACTACTGTTTTCCCCATCCCCTCCAAATTCATATGTTGAAACTCTAGCAGCCTTTCTCCCTGTGGCTATACTTGGCCTTATGAGGTCAAAAAGTGTGGGACCCTGATCCAATAGGATTAGTGTCCATACAAGAAGGGACACCAGAGGGCTGACACACATGTGTACCACCTCCTTTCTCTCTGTCTTGACCTGCGTTCTTTCTTGCTATTGGTTGCACACAGAGGAAAGCCCTGGTGAAAAGACAGCCAGAAATGACCATCTACAAACCAGGAAGAGAGCTGTCACCAGGAAGTAAATTGGCTGACACCTTGATTTTGGCCTTCCAGCCTTTAGAATGGTGAGAAAATAAGTACCTGTTGTTGAACTCATCCAATCTATGTTATTTTGTTATGGCAACTTGAGCTGATTAATGAAAGAGCCCAGAGCTCTTAGTTTTCTATTGTAAACTGACAGAGAAAGGAATGCAGATAATTAGAAGTAAAAGCAAGTCACTGGAGAAAAAGGTAAAAGAAAGCTGTAATTAAGTAGGGCCTTTTTCTCTCCTTCCTCCTCACAGCCTTAGGCTAGAAAAGATGGAACTTACAGTGGTGTTTGTAAATATGTAGATCAGCTTTCTGGGTTGCACATCTCTGGGAAGGGTCTTACTCAGGGAACTCATTAAAACCCACTGTTCAGGAATCCAGGCACAAGCAAATGAATAAGTAAAATTTTACAAACCTTGAAATTGTTCAGAAGGGGATTTCCCCTATTTTCTAGATCGTGTCCAAACCATCTCTTGGTACCATATTTCAAAGACAGAGAAAGAGAACTCTAATTGAGGTTACCACCTTGGCCCATATGTTTTGGCATAGAGAGAGAAAGTTGTTGTTGTTGTTGTTTGAAAATTTTAACGAAATAGAAACTACAGTTTGGACATAAGTGGAACAATCACTAATACTAACTCATTATAATTTAAACCTTTGAGAACTGCTGTCTGAAACTATTATCTCAACTTAGGAGTTCCCAAGTTCTTTGATTCTACCTGTCTCCTTGTGACTCCAGCCCTGGGCACTCCAGGGGCAGCTGCTACACCAGTCCATAAATATGTGGAAAGCTTCAAGAATGCTGGCCCACCAGGAAAGCTGGTCTACCTATAGGAGCTGGACAGCAAATCTCTTTTTTTTTGTTTGTTTAAGGAACATTCTTAAATGTTCTTATCTTTCTGGAGTCAACAAGTCTTTGAAAACATCCTCTCCAGCCCCATCTTAAAAAGGAATAGCAAGCTGGATTGCAAAGGAGTCTCTGCTGCTATAGAAAACACAACTAGGCAGACTGGAATGCTCTGGTGAAAAAATAAACCAGAAGCCGACCCAGCAATTCCGTCGGATACCCTGTTGGTCCCGCCACTGTCAAAGCTCTCTGCTAGAGCCTCCCTAGTAAGCAACACAAGGAGACAAGGGATTCTGAGAAATCATGGACACTGAGATGACATACCGTAATATAAAAGCTGTTTAACTCACCCAGTCTATGTTATTTTGTTATGGCAATGAGCTGTAGATGAACTGATGAGACAGGTAGCTAGTAAAAACCCAACAAGAGTGACTTCTCTATACTCCGGAAGCAAAGGGGGAAAATTCATTTTGGTCACTGAGGTTTTGCTATAACTTGACTTTATATCAGATAGACAATATGGCATACGCTTTTCAATGTTCTTCCTACTCAAAGGCAGGGAGCAAAGCATTCAATAATTCTGCTACTGGAGCTGCCATTCTAGACTAACATAGAAGTGTTGTCTCAGGCCTTTTGATATCTACCAAAGGGAAAAATTCCCCAGAAGGACACTCATTAACCTCAGACACCCATATTACTGGAACAATGTTCTTGCCAGGAGCTAGCTAATACCTGTATGTCTAAGCTGTGCTTTGCCACTGTCTAATGACAAGGTCATTCTTTCAGTCTGGCCAGCAGCTACTAATAGTAGCTGCTGAAATAGGCAACTGTCAACATGATTCCAGATCCATGGTATTATTTGAAACTTAGATTCTAGGAATGTTTTCTGGAAGCCACCATTACCCAACTTGCTGCCAGCAGGATGCCTTTTATTGTTGGCTATTCCTCTAAGGAATTTAATAAATATTCATTGACAGCATAGCATGATTCATTCAACCACTTTCATTTTTTATCCATGCCCCAGGAGGCTTTTAGACTTGCTGGGAACTCTGGAAGTTGCCAATACTTGACAATAACGGAGCTTTTGTGGGGTCTTTGCAGGAAGAGGTAGAGAAGAGAAAATAAGGTTCATGTCTGTTATTCTGAGCCACTTTCTGAATCTTATCAGGAATAATATACCAGTGTGATCACTGACATTGTTTACGTCTATGGGTATTCTCTGATAAACTATAAAAGACCCAATATACTTTTAAATACATGATTAGGAATCAAGTTAATTTCTGGTGATTAAGTACTATTTAAATCTGGTCAGATACTTTGTATTCATTAATTTTCAAATTACCCATCAGTATGGATTCTATAGGCCTTGAAAGAAAAAACAATTCAATTTGTCTATTCTTAGAGCTATAAATGACATACCCACAATATAATTTGAAAGTAACAACTTTTTTTTATTTTTGGTCCGGTCGTGGAGCCTGAACTCTGGGCCTGGGTGCTGTCCCTCAGCTCTTCAGCTCAAGGCTAGTGCTCTACCACTTGAGCCACAGCGCCACTTCCGGCTTTTTTCTTTTTGCTTATGTGGTGCTGAGGAATCGAACCCAGGGCCTCGAGCATGCAAGGCAAGCGCTCTACCACTGAGCCACCTCCCCAGCCCCTGAAAGTAACAACTTTTATATTGGTAAACACTTTTTCTGTACAAGTGTGAGTTCAGCTATTAATTCTGTAGTCTTTTGGAAACATAAACATACCATCACTGCAAATAATTTCTAATAAGTTGCTTATCAACACTTGAAACTCTTCTGTTTTCTTTCTTTTGGTTGGTTGTAGGGCTTGAACTGTGGGCCTGGGCGCTGTCCCTGCACTCTTCAGCTCATGGCGAGTGCTCTACCACTTGAGCCACAGCGCCACTTCCAATTTTCTGGTGGTTAATTGGAAATAACAGTCTCACAGACTTTCCTGCCTGGCTGGCTTTGAATTGTGATCCTCAGATCTCAGCCTCCTGAGTAGCTAGGATTATAGGCTTGAGCCACTGGTGCCCAGCTTAACTCTTCTGCTTTCTAAAGTACCACTATGAGCATCTTTTTCACAGAGAAGTTCAGCCTTGTTGATGAGTTGACCACATCACTTAAGAAATATCATACTTTTGGGCTGGGAATGGTAACAGTTGTTTGGAATCCCAGCTACTCCACAGGCAGGAAGACTGTGGTTCAGGGCTGGCCCAAGCAAAAGAGAGAGGTGTGGCTCAAGTGGTAGAGTGCTTACCTCCTAGGTGTGATTTTTGGCATGCTGCTTTTTTTCTTTCTTCTACATTTCTGTAACTTATTCTCTATGTTTACATTTGACTTTGCCATATTTCTGGTTTGTCTGTCTACTTACTGGAAGGCCTGTGAAAGTGACTGGAGGAGACTGCCAAGAAATGCTGAAGCTGCTGCCGTTAGGGGTGAACTTGGCTGATCCCGGAATGGTCACAGGGGGTGTGGCCTGTTAAATAGAAAACAGAGTTACTATGAGAGAACTTTTGTTTTCCCTTGGATTTAAGCTCTTACTACAAAGTAATTAATGGGAACATTGTCAATTGTATTAATAACTTAGGCCATCTCCTAGGCAGAGTCAAAGGTGGTAAGCAGGTACAGACTTTTTTCCCCTAATATATATTTTCTGGTCCTGGGGCTTGAGCTCAGTGCTTTGGGTGCTGTCCCTGAGCCTCTTGGTACTTAAGGCTGGTGCTCTACCACCTGTACCACAGCGCCATTTCCAGCTTTCTCTGAGTACTTTATTGGTGATAAGCGTTCCGTGGATTTTCCTGCCCAGGCTGTCATCAAATGGTGATCTTAAGATCTCAGCCTCCTGAATAGTTAGGATTACAGGTATGAGCCACTGGTGCCCCGTTATGTAGAGTTTTTAAAAACGTCCAAATAAAACCTCTCTAAGATACAGAAGGAAATGTTTATTGACTGTCAAATTTCAAAATTTTATTACACATACATATTCCTATTTTTAGCAGTTAACTTTTGCTCCCAGGCAGATGGATACTACTTTTTGGTTCAGATCAGAGTGACTGTACAATCTGTGCCTTGCAAGTCACCTGGTAAGCATGGTCAGTATGCACGAGGTAGAGCGTAGTAGGAGCTGAGCGGCTCAATGGTGTCATCAGTTTAGTGTCAGATTTGGCACAAGAAGTTTCTGTCCGGCTTGAGTCAGGGATGGGGAAAGTAGGAGGTGACGCCAGGGACTGGGAGGGAGACACTGGGGCCAGGCTGCTCAGTCCATCTGCCATGGAGTCTGTGTTGAGCTTGATCTCAGTGTAGTAGAAATCTTCTTCTCCATCACTATAGTCAGAGTCTCCAACACGCCTAATGCAGAAGAGAGCAAAACAGATGGGCTCAGCCAATCGGTTGTCTTGCCTTGAAATCGTTTTTTTTTTTTTTTTGCGGATGCTGTTCCCTCTGTCTGGAATGTCCCCTCTCTCTTGTCTGCCTAGTTATCTTTCTCATCCATCAACTACCCACTTTGAAGGAAGACTTCCTAACCTCTCCTCTTGTTTGAATGTTTTTTCTCAAAGCTCATGAATGTTACCCACCCCCCTCAAACTTAACATGTTCATGGTGTTTGGAAATGGTGTTTTTGAGGGGTAATTAGGACTATATGAGACCACAAGGGTGGGTCCCCGAGGACATCATTAGAGGAGCAGACAGACTTAAGCTAGTAGGTTTTGCTCTATCTCACCATGTCACTTCCTCTGCCATGTCATGATGTAGCAAGAAGAGCCTCATTAGAAACTGAGCAAAGATGTCAGTGCCATGGACTTGGACTTCCAGCCTTTAGGAATGTGGGACATATAAACTATTCTTTATTAATTACCTGGTCTCAGGTATTTTATTACAGCAATAGAAAAGAAGCTACGACAACCGCTTAGAGTAATACATCTCCCCATCCACTTATTTAATCATTTGACCACAATTTATTGAGAATCTATCAAATTCAGATTGTTCTCTCTCTTGCTACTATAGTGAACAAAACATAGAATCTTAATGAAACTTAGTCTAATGGAGGAGGCAGATGAAACATCGGCAACAGGATGTACATTTAATATATTAGGCATTGATGAGGCCGAAACAGAAAAATTAAGCAGCATAAGAATGTCTTTAAGCAAAATAAGTGATTGGGTAGGAACACTGCATTTTATGTAGAGTAGTTGGAGGAAATCTCTGGAGATTACATGTAAGTAGACGCTTGCCAGAACTGAGTAAGGGAGAGACTACTTTCTTGTGGGAAGAGCACAGGGAAGAGAAACACAAAGCCTTGGGTAAGAGCATCTGGAGCTTTCCGCAGAGTGAAAAGAAGCCAGTGGCCGCTCATTTAGGAAAGGAAGGCAGACAGAAGACCATGAAGGGCTTCTGTACCTTTGTACAGTTTTCCTTTTTATTCTGATCCTTTTCAGAAGGATCAATGACTACTGTATGGAAACAGAAGACAGAAAGGCAAACATAGGCACAAAACAGCACGGAGGGGCTCCTTGCCACTAATAATCCTGTCGAAGCTGGACAGATGGGAGTGGGAGGAATGATGAAAAGTCAGAGTGTCTTTGAAGCAGAGACTTTTAGTGTGAGTTGAAGGTGAAGAGTTAAGTCCTTACAGCTAACTCTTAGCCTATGCTCTCTTTAAAGAATGTTTATCCCTGGAAGTAATTACTAGCCACATTTCTGCATTTTAATTTATTCATTTATTTACTTTTAATCTTACTATGACGTTGATTCTTCAGGGCTCTATCTTGTTGGTCTTTGCACCACACCACACCCATCAGCATATCTGACATGGAGTAGGGAACCTGTGAAAGGCTGAATGAATGATGCTGGAATTGTTGTAGCACAGTGATTGAGACTACGGATTCTGGAGTTGGATTTCACAGGCTTAAACTATGACAAACATTTTCTAACCGTGGGTATGATTTTGGCAACCTGCATTTAGGCCTCAGTTTCTTTCTTCATTTATCAAATGAGGACCAAGTGGTTAAATATGCCAGTGTTCAGAATTGTGTGTGATGCCTAATACATGGAAGACAAGGGCTTAGTAAATAAACATGAGGACTGTCAAAGGTCTCAGTGTTTATTCTCCCCAGGAAAAGTATCATCTCAGGTACCCACAAAGCTCTTCTCCTTGGAGATGAAAGTGCACTTTCCCAGCCAGGCACTGGTGGCTCACGCCTGTAATTCTAGCTACTTAGAAGGCTGAGATCTGAGGATTGTGGTTCAAACCCAGCCTGGCAGGAAACTCCGTGAGACTCTTATCTCCAATAAACCACCAGAAAAACCAGAAGTGGTGCTGTAGTTCAAGTGGTAGAACACTAGCCTTGAGCTGAAGAGCTGAGGGACAGCGCACAGGCCCAGAGTTCAAGCCCCACGACCGACAAAAAAAAAAAAAAGAAAAAAGAAGAAAGTGCACTTTCCTACAGAAAGTTTTGAATAGAAAAACAATGCATGACCTTAGAAAACACTTATTAGTGGGCTGGGAAGGTGGCTCAGTGGTAGAGCGCTTGCTTTGCATGCCTGAGGCCCTGGGTTCGATTCCTCAGCACCACATAAGCAAAAAGAAAAAAAGCCGAAAGTGGCACTGTGGCTCAAGTGGTAGAGTGCTAGCCTTGAGTGAAGAGCTGAGGGACAGTGCCCAGGCCCAGAGTTCAGGGCCCCACGACCGGACTCCCCCCACTCAAAACAAAAAGAAAAAGAAAACACTTATTAGATGTATTAGTTTCTCCAGAAGTAGTGTGGGTCTGGTACCTAGTTTTCTGGGATAGCTGAAGGAGTCCAGGGGCACCCCTCATCTCAAGGACACATCTGACAGCAGCCATAGATTGCTGACTTGGAACAAACTTGCTTCCTTTCTAATGATCCCTACATAGTACCTAAAATAAACTGCCCTTCCTGACCCTCTGGCCTTTCTACTTAGCCAAAAGACTGGCTTCTCTGCCCCCCTTCCTTACCCCTGCCATTTCCTTTGAGCTCTGGGACTGAGGTACCTAGGGAAGTATCTTTGGCTTATATCAGGTCTTGCTGGGCTTAACTTCGGACCAGCATACCATTGAAGACCTCAGAGAGAGGGATAAAGAACGAACCTATGTGTTCCTACTTCCTTTCCAGTCTGGGGCAGGCTAAGTTGCTGCTGGCTGCCAAGTGCTACTAATAGACACACAGATCTGGGGGATATTGTGAGTCCTCTAGGACAGTCCTCAGGGTCAACTCCTGGTATACAAGAATGGAGTGAAAGAGAGAAACAGCATACTTTTCACATGGATGGAAGACTATGACACCCTTTCTCATACCCACAAACAGTCAACATTTATTAAAAATAGTCCATTAGCCTACAGTTATGTAATCAAGTTCACAGATTAAGGTAAGTACTATGTACTCTCTCCCAGTCCATGACAAAGCTCAGGCCTCAGGCCTTACTCATTAGCCATGACGTCCTGCAAACCCAGGCCCTGTCCTGGGCAGTGGCTGGCAGGGCTATGGACCATAATTCATCAAGGCAATTCTCAGTCCAAATGGGAAGCTAGGGAAACAACTGAAGTGGCTGCCTTTTGAATGTGACCCACCGTGAGTACACTCTGGGAACTCAGTGGAAAGTCATGTGATGCCACTTGTGGACTATAAATACATAAACACATAGCCTGTACTGCTGAGTGGGGCTGAAAAGGATTCCATTTTCTGGGAAGATAGGACTTTAAAACAAATACTGGGCCTGCTAGGTACAGTTTTGTGAAGTTCTTTCTAAACCTGTAGATTATGCTGAGCTGGTTTTGTTATGAGTGTCCTAACAGTAAGATTTGAAAAAGGGAGACTCTGCAGGATTTCCTTCCTTGAAGGTATGGGGGAGAGGCATGAGGGCATTCTGTACTGTGGTATTTCACTATGGTATTCAGGAAATTCAGGCAGATGCTACGGCTGGGGAAGCAGAAGCCCAGCCTGGGTCACACACCCAGTGCTTGGTCACTTGGGTGCCCTGCCCTATAGAAGGCTTTCATATGTTGTCTAGGACAAGCAAAAAAGGTCAAAACCATGTACATATGACCATATATGATGATGTTGAGTAAAATGAACCCCAAGACAGGGACACAAGTGATTTTTTCTTTCTTGCTATTGTTTTTTATGTACTTGGAATGCACTATGTGATTCTTTTGTTTCTTTGGTACATTCTTCCCCCACAGAATAACCCCTGTTTTCACTGTATCTGATTCCATTGCCCTACATCTTGTATATACATTTTTATAATTTGGGAAGGGGAAGGGATATAACAAAATGCTTAAATAAGGATACAAGTTGACCCATTGTAACAATGAGATGTACAAGACACTATGTTGAAAACAAACTTTATAATTTCGGGGCAGCGGGGAGAGGGAGGATTTGAGGAGGTTGGGAGGGAAGGGATGATAGGGGAAAACAAAGGAGGAGGTAACAATGCTCAAATAGGAAATATATTCATACCCTATCCATGTAACTGTAACCCTCTGTACAGTATTTTTACAAAAAAATAGATATATATGGAAGAAAAAAAAAGAGAAGGCTTTCATGTGGACTCAAACATTAGCCTGAGAATTAGGAAGCCAGAACCCTATTCTCTCCTTCTTCACTGATGGAGCTGACCTCATACATTTAGCAAGATAACCTTCAAACGTTTTTCATCCTCTGCCTATATGGCTTTTTGTGGATAATTCATTTCTTAAATTTATCCCTTGCTAGGTAAAGTGACTGTTGCGTTTATTTCTCTGAACTCATCTGGTCAATAGGACTCCTCTACCACTAAACATGTAGAGATGGTTGATCATGAATTTATATTTGCCCGATGCCACTGGGTATGACTCAAGGCCCTATCTTAAGTCCCAGATGCCTGGACAAGGGAGACTCTCAAATACTGCGGAACTGCCACTGCTCCTCTGCTGTAAATTCTACGAGCTGTGGCGGCCCAAAGCTGCACGTAAACTTTCCTTGGAAAGGTTGTGACATATAAGGAGGAAAAGTGCCGATTTTTACAAATCAAGTGCTTCTTTGAGCTAGATCATCAGGCACCATCAGAACAGCAACACCAGAACTATAGCAGTTCTTAAATCTGGGGGAGGTCATCTATGCCTCGGAGGCCCAAAGCCATGAATACTTTCTACTGCAAAAACAAATGTATGCTTCATTTTATGGACAATTTCAAGGGACTCAAAGACACTTTGGAGTGCAATCAGAGTTCCCAGCTTCAGAACTCAAGTTCTTTTTATTCTGTGAGTATCTCCCACACACGTTTTATCTTTGACTCTCACACATGACCCAGCAGATACTACTAGGGATTTGAGAGGCAACAGAGACTCTGAGCAGAGACTTGCCTAATGTGAGTTAGTAAGTAAATGTTCTTTGCCTGGGATGTATGAGGCTATAACTGGCAGTGGTTGTCTCTGTGGAGATATGAAGAGCAAACCAGCCCAATGTGCAAACTTCTATGGCACAGCAGTGGTATGTGATGTCAGAGTAGAGAGGGCAGAGCTAAACTGATGGCAGCTGTGCTAAGCTCCTGAGAGAGGGCTGCCTTACCCGAGATGAATAGTCCGGATGTGTTTTTGGATACCTGCGGCAGTGCTCAGCACCTTGCCACAGTTCTTCCAGAGGCATTTAAACATCACCTTCATGGAGTTCTATGAAGAGACAAGATAGTTACAATAGCATGAAAACCAACCCCTCCACATTTGCATGCTGCCATCCCAACAGATGTTTTTTTCTCTTTATTAGAGAAGTAATAGCTCCCCACATTCTTGATTTCTTCCCCTCTCCAACCAACTTCTCAGCACCCTGGTAATCCTCTGGATTGCTTATCTCTTTAGGCTTAGGGGTACAATGACTTTCACTGATTGTTTACCCTTGATACTGTACTACATCATTCCCTACTGACTTGTCCTACCCGGTCTATAACTTTATTAAGCCCTTTATTAAGCCTATGAAGTCTATAACTTTATTAAGTCTATAACTTTATTAAGCTCTTCTGAGGATACAAGGGAGTACCCCTTGTATCTACCAGGGGTTGGTTGATGCAGAGGAAAAGCAGGTCATAAAAAACATGAGTCATAGGGCTGGGAAGGTGGCTCAGTGGTAGAGTGCTTGCTTCTAGAGCGCATGCTTGAGGCCCTGCATCGATTCCTCAGCACCACAAAAGCAGAAAAAGCCAGAAGTGGTGCTGTGGCTCAAGTGGTAGAGCACTTGCCTTGAGCTGAAGAGCTGAGAGACAGCACCCAGGCCCAGAGTTCAGGCCCCATGACCGACAAATCAAACAAACATACAAAAAAGACCAAAACAAAACATGAGTCATGCCAGGCACTGGTGGCTCACATGTATAAACCTAGCTAGGCAGGAGTTTGAGATCTGAGCATTGCTTGTTGGAGCCAGCAGGAAAGTCCATGAGACTGTTAATTCTAGTTAATCACCAAAAAGCCAGAAGTGGAGCTTTGGCTCTACTGGTAGAGCACAAGCCATGAGCAAAGTTAAATAAACAAATAAATAAGTAAAGCTCAAGGACATTACCCACCCAGGCCTTGAGTTCAAATCATAGGACTGGGACAAAAAACAAAAACAAACAACAATGACAATGAAACAAAACAAAACATGAGTAACATTTAGGGAAGAATAACTCTTTTTTCATGTTTATTTCTTACTTTTAATCTTACAAAGCTAGTTCTTAAGAAATACCAACCTAAAATTGCGTGACTAACTTTGAACCATCTCAACTTTAATGAAGTCGAATGGCTTCTATATAGGCCAAGGGTGTTCTTGCATCAAAGCCCAAGGCCCCTTAAGTGGTAGCTTAATACTTTTCAAAGTCTACTCGCTTCAACCAGTTGAAACCAATCCTTTGTCTACAGACAGACAAGTTGCTGTTACACTGAAGGAAAGCAAGCCATGGGAGGAGGAAAATATTAAAAAAAAAAAAAGCTAAATAAACAACACCCAGATGGCTGCACAGGTCCAAGCTCGCCCAAGGAAGCCAAACTAAGCAAAGCTGCTGGCAGAGTGGCAGCAGTCAAGTATGAAGGGCCCATCTGTGCTTCAATGCCGGCCTCTCCTCACAACTCTCACAGATGTTCACAAAGCTGGAATGTCCACAAATGCATGGAACAACAGCTGAAAATTCACCCCCAATGGAAAACACACAAAGTCAATGTCAACTGACATCAGATCTCATGGAACAGACCTCTTCCTGTAAAGCATCTGAGGAGAGAGGAAAGGCAGAAAGAGGCCAGTGTTGACTGGAATCCACTATGTGCCCAGTCCTGTGCTAAGAACTTCATTTAACATTCACAACACCCCAATGGGAAGCTGAAACTTTGAGCAGCTACAAACAACTACAATGCACTCTTTAGAATAACCCAAGTCTAGTTCTGAAGGCTCCAACAGTTGCAAAGAACTTTCTTTCTTTTTTTTTTTTTTGTTCCTGGGGCTTGAACTCTGGGTTTGGGCGCTGTCCCTGCGCTCTTCAGCTCAAGGCAAGTGTTCTACCACTTGAGCCACAGCGCCACTTCCACAAAGAACTTTCTAGAGATTATCTTTGTAGTAGTTTTCAGGCTGGTTTGGAAAGACCAACTGCTTTAGGGTATAAGCTAAGATCATCCAAGTTTGAGACTCATGTTTTTTTTTTTTTAAATAAAGATACAGAGAGAGGGTCTTTTGTGTAGCCTGACAGACTCCAGATTACCATGTAGGAACAAGAAACATGGCTTGGTTTCAAAGTATTAATATGGCATGCTTAGGAATAAATTCAATTAAAGCTATATTCCAGAATTTACAAGAAGTCCTATTCCTATACTAACAGCCTTGGATTAGTGTCATTTGCCTTTACTGAGGCAACTGAGACTATCAGGTTTATTTTTTAACAGGGTGGCTGAGGGATGTGTATGTGTGTGTGCATATAGCGGGTAGAGTTGGGCATTTACAGTTCACATTTTTCCAGAGTAGACTAGGTTTCTTGAGAGCTGGAGGAGGTTCCAATTATTCTGTGCAGGCGAGTTTTTCACATTGAATATACTTTCTCAGCCTGTCTCCTGGGGACCCATTCCCCTTGGCAGAGGCACCAATGGCTGTCAGGATCAAGAGGTCCACTCAGACCTCAACAAATGCTGAAAGACTGAGATGTGAACTGCTTTTTTTTTGGCTTGAACTCAGGGCCTGGAGGCTGTTCCTGAGCCTCTCTGTACTCAAGGATAGAGCTCTACCCCTTGAGTCACAGCACCGCTTTTGGCTTTTCTGTGTAGTTTAATGGAGATTAGAGTCTCATGGAATTTCCTGCCCTTGTCTGGCTTTGAACCGTGATCCTCTGATCTCAGCCTCCTGAGTAGCTAGGATTACAGATGTGAGCTACTGGCACCTGGCTTGAGCTGCTATTATTTTAAAGTTAGTTAAGAAGCTGGTGGGGTTTCAGTTATTTCCTTAATTAGGGAAGTAGCCTTATAAGTTTATCACCTTATTTCTATGGGTTTTGCTTTCTTTATTTGTAAGGTGAAAGAACCAAATGAGATGAGTACTTTTGAATCTTCAAGGTGTGCAAAGTAGTGAGTTCAAATATTCAAATATATACCAGCACTCACCTATATTCACTCTTTATTGATGTTGTGGTGATGAGTAAATGACATGTAAAGATCAACAAAGAGATCTTTGTAAATGGAATAACATAGAAAATATATTTTTCCTCTTCTGGCTTCTTTTCTGGCAGCATAATGCTTTTGAAATTCATTTGTTGTTTTGTATATCAGAAGTTTTACCCCATCTTAGAAAGGAGAAGAATTCCACAGCAGAACATGCTGCAGTTTGCTTATCCATTTGCCTGTGGATGGACATTTGGGTTGGTTCCAGTTTGGGGTGATAATGAATAAAGCTGCTATGAACATTTGTCTACACATTTGTGTGTGTGTGTATGTGTGTGTGTGTGTGTGTGCATGTGTTTTCCTACGTCTGAGGTAAATACATATCCAAGAGTGAAATTGCTGGGTCATATGGTAAATGCATATTCTACTTTGTAAGGAATTGTCAAACTGTTTTACAAAGTATTTATGCCATGTTACATTTCTACAAGCAATGAATGAGCATTCCTGCTGCCAGTGTTTGGTCTTTTGTATTGGAAATACACACTGTGTGATTCCATTGAGTCAAAGTTCTACAGGAGTCAATATGAATAGAGTGTGAGAAGTCAGAAGAGTGGTAGCTTGTCTGAAGTGCAAGGTCACCTGACTGCAGAGAGTGAGAGGAGCGCCGCTTTCTCACTGACTGGTATGCTAAAGTTTGGCTCACTGTATTTTGTGAAAACTGGAGCTGAGACTGGTTTAAAATGATTTCTGCAACAACAACAAATAGATTCCTGAGTGAACTGAAATCCCTAGTGGTTGTGCAGTTTCTCAATAGGTGGATTCTAGAAGTGTGTCTCATCTTTGGGGACCTCTCTTCATTTCCAGATGAGACTGAGTGATCCTCAAATGTGGAAAAATCAACACTGCACTGGATGATATCTGAAGTCCTTGGAACCCCAGTACCCAAATCCTATAGCCAGTATGGCTGGCTGTTCAAAGAACCTGTTAACTAAATTGCCCAGATCTTCCTGATCTTTACCCCGGTCTGGTTGGCAGGCTGTCATCATAATGAAACCCAAGCAGATGACCCTAGCTGTGCTGCTTTGCCCTGTCCTTTCTGGCCCCAACAACAGTGGCTCTACCGCTGGGGCTACACTCCTTGTAGGATGTACTCTCTGTACAAAATTAGTGGGTTAAAAATTAATTTAGCAGAGCCTGGTAACATACTTATTTGTGAGGGTTTTCTGGGTTTGTTTCCTTTTTGAAGCAGTCATTCACAATTTAAAGTGATTTGTTGCTTTCTCATTCTGAAAGACTGAAAATGAGGAGTGCAGTAAATGATTAATCCATTGTTTACTACTGGCACAGCACAGCTCTTGTGGGAGCACCCAATGTTAACACTTTCAACTGTGACTTGAGATCCCCAATACAAGGTAAAACTGTTCCTTGTTAAGACACCTGTGACGTATATAAAAATGATGAACGAAGGCTGGGATTTAGTAATTGCCTTTGAGGTGCTGCTGATGCTGAGTCAGTTTTCCTTTACCCTAATTTCTGCCAGTATCATTGCAAACTTTACTCTATGCACTGAAGGGGGAGGCCTCAAAGGAGAACAGGGTGTCTGTCTGAGGAGCAAGTTGCTCAGAACCACAATAGTATTGGTTTAAACAATGTGGGATCAGAATGGAAAAGGGAGGCAAGAGTGGTCTTCTTTTCACTCCTAGGTGTCAGTTAGTAAATAGGTAAAAAGGCAAGCATAGTATTAGCAGTTACCATGGATTGCTCTTTAGATCCTCTTGTAACAATTCTCGTAGCAGCCCCATCAATGTGGTTGCTTCCGTTACCCACATTTTACAGATAAAGAGACTGAGGCTGAGATACTGGAACTGGCATGCCAATTTCAGAATGCAGACTCAGGTATGTGGCATGGGAAAGACGCACAAAATCCAATACACCTGGTTCTCTAGGGGTCTCCTGGACTTGATGGTTAGTTCTTGGCCTTCCACAGACTTGTTTTCTGCTCAGATGGCCATATTTAGGGTCATTGCCTCACCTTGTGGGCATGACTGGAACTGCACCTCCCCATACCTCCCTTCTTGCATTCTTACCTACCCTCTCTGCAGGGCCTCTAAGAGGGGCATATGCTCCATTTCAAGTTTAGCAGGCAGCTCAAATTCCTCTCTGCCCTCAATTTATTCCTGAACCTTCCTCACTCTACTTCGTACCTGCCATGTAATATGTGCCTATTTTCCCTTTATGTTACTCTTCCTTGTGGGCAATGTGGATTCTCTGAATTAATTTGCCTCAAGGATTTCCCCTTTTTGATTTCAGTTAAGCTGACCTTGTTTCTGCCACATTCTAAATTACACACTCCTGGGCAAGTCGTGCAATCTCAATGAGCCTCCTTTGCAAAATGAGAATAAAGTTATATCTAAGATTTTGGGATGAGAAAATGAAATAGGTATTTAAAAGCGTTAGGCATACTTATAACTAAACACACAAAGATGGTTATGATCAGATTATTTCTTCCTCACTATTTAAATAGGAGAAAGAGGTTGCATAGGCAATAATCCTCACACTTTTAACTTCATCTCATAAGGTGGCACTTGGATTGCCAGAAGAGAGTGTGGTGTGTGTGAGACGAGATGAAACAGTCAGGAGTCACAGGAACACAGAATGCTCTCTCAGTTTTTATCAGTTGAGATGGGGTCTTGCACAGTTTGTGCCTGGACTAGCCTTCTGATCTTTCCCTCTTGAGCAGCTGGGATTAAAGCCATGAGCTATGCTGATTAGTAACATGATTTTAAAAAACAAAGACAAAAATATTTTCTTGATGTAGAGGTAGTAGTGCTATATTCTGTGAAAGAGAAATGTTTTATAGTAAACCGTGAGGATAATAAAATAAACAGGACTGTTAGGAGGACTATATAAAGCTGTCATAAATTAGTTTACTAAATCCATTAATTAGATCCATTTTGTTTAGTAAAGACATATTTTCCACCCATACGCATGTATACATGTTTATACATGTTTATTCAACTTGTTTTGAAACTTGAAAGACTATCGAAGGGGAATGTAGACTGCTTTTGTTCACCCAAAGAAATGGGAGAATCAGCACCCACACTGAGCGAAAATCAAGACTGCTCACACAGACCCTACGTGTGTCAGCCACACCCACCTTCCTTTTCCTGGGAATTGGCTCATCGAAGAGCAGGTTGCTGGCCTCGGCCTCGTCAATGCCGTCATCTGGCTGCACCGGGCTGCGGAAGGGTTTGAAGCTGTCGGCAGACAGTGGTGGCGACGGCGTGGATGGGTTGGACTGGTCACTGGGGGCACTCCAGCTCCAGTAGCCGCTGCTGCTGCTGCTGGAAGGCACGCAGCTCCCCTCCTTCCAGGATCCGCTGAGGCCCTCTGCACGTCACACACACAGGTCAGTGTGTGTGGGGGGGGGCAGAGTACCCACACAGGTCAGTGTGGGGGTCCTGTGAGCCGGGAAGGGGGGGTCTTGCCCTGCACCCTTCCCCCCATCTCACTTAGCCTTGTGCATCTGTAAACCCTCACCTCTCAAGTCACACGTTAGCTAATAAATAGTAACTTTATAACCAGCAGGCAGGTTTTTCTAAGAGCTCTCTGGTGTGTGCTCTATTGTGTTGTGCCATTTCCTTGGGGTGGCAGAGGAGACTATATGTAAACAAGGAAAATAAAAAGACTTTTTTGATGATGTGGTTTTAATTAGGACAACCTATTTAAGAAACCTGAAAGGCTATTAAAGGGGGGTGTAGACTGCTATTGTTCACCCAAAGAAATGGGAGAATCAGCACTCACACTGAGTGCAAAGACTGTGCACACAGGCTTCATGAAGTATGAGTTTACTGACTGCAGTGCTGACAGAGATGGTATGTGTTATATGCTCTCAGATTATTTGGTCACAGCATACCCCCTCCAATTCTAATTTCAACTTTACTTTCCAAAAGTGTTCCTCATAGGACTATCATTCTTAGAATACATTTATAGCAGATTAAACACTCTTAAAAGAAACAATAATTTTAATAACTAAAGCCACTTCCTAAGCTGCTTATTATTACAAATTGTAGTGCCTTGTGGTCTGTAAATGTTGCTACATCTCATAAAGCCAAGTTGTACCATTTCAGGCATTGTTACATATGTCTGGCAGAGTCAGGTTGAGCCATTTTCCAGAGAAGGACAGTCACAGGAAGTTCGTGACTACTAAATCACCCTGCTGGATGGAGGGCCATTGGCCCTCCATCCTCCAATGCACATGGGGGCTCTAGACAATAGAATCTTCTATTCTCTCTGGAAAGCTAGGATCAGAAAAGCATTTGTTGACAATAAGTACTGAGAAGATTGGCGTTCAATTTAACCTTTCTACTTGTGGAAAACACTATGGGAAATGCTTATTAATGTAGCAACTTTCTTTGAATGGCTTGGGGAAGAAGGCCTTTTAATCACTGAAGATTTATTTTCCCTTTCAAGACATCCAATCTTAATTAGCATTTGTAGAAAGTCTACTTTCTGGATAATTTCTTCTCTATATTTATGTGCATTGTGAATATATTAAAACTAACTATAAGGAGGGTAAAAAAATCCCAAAATGCCTCATTAAAAAATACTCTTAATGTCTGTGTAATTAGTAATGAAGAAAAAAATGACTGGCAGAATAGCATTCACGGAGAAATTTCTTAACTACCCTGACCTAATTATACATTTCCAGTATATTCGTCAGCTATGTTAAGCAAAAAGTTTAAAAGCATAAAGTTTTCAGCTGCAATAGAAGTTGCCCATTTTATAAAGCCAGTTCTGTCAGAATCAAATGGCCATTCTCCCAGACTCACACATTGCCAGCACCAACAAAGCCATTAGTGTCACCTTCCTTCTGGTCTAACAGGCATTCAGTATACCGGGCCCTTATGAGGAGTATCACCGAAGACCTTAAGTGATAGTACTTGGGGTGAAAACCTCATTTAGCAGGCTCAGGTGGCTTATAAACACATCCCAAAACACATTAGTACAAAATAAAATCAAGTCCAGGGTGCTGGACGTGCAATTACGTTGCACATGAGGAACTAAATACATTTTGGGAACTGTTACACTGAGTGGTTACATTACTCCTGACAAAGCCCAAATTAAATTGCTTAATGGTTTATAAATGGTATTTCCTTTAGTAACACTAATCAGAAGGATAAAGAGATACAGAAATGAGGTTTTGAGAAACAAATCAGGACTGATTCATACAATTTCTTAGGGGGCAGTATCTTCCTGTCTTACAGAAGATATTGGACTGTTACTCTCTTTGCCACCCACCTCCTGATGTTATGATTCTTGTAGGTTACAGGAAAGGATCACAACAGTTTCCAAAAATATCACTGATATTCAGTAATTCTGGAGAGCAATATGGATTCCTAAAAAAATCCAATGTTTTCATTGCTATAAATTGATTTGCTATTTTAAATTTGCTTCTTGTTGCAGACTAAATGAGTGGTATCAGACAATTCTGGGGTTATTAGTTGAGTAGTTATTTTTTAATCCACAAATGAACACCAAATTACTATTGTGCTAACAAAAGTTAGCACTGAAGGATCAAAAGGGTTTATTTTAATTCTAACCTTTAAATACAAAGGAACAATAGAATTTTCTGTTTAAAAAAAAGAATCCAGTGGTGAAAATAATGATTAATTTAAGATATACCTTTTTTTTCCTTTCTCAAAAAGTTTCACCTTTTTCCTACAATATCTTCTGGAGGTGATTCCAGCTTTGCTTTGACTGTGATCTTTCTTTAGCAGTACTACAAAGCTGAGACTCAGGATGGGTATTTGCCAAGAGGTCCTCAGAGGGTCAGTTACTAAACAAGAATGGTCAACCTTAAACCAAGGGCATCTGACCTCCTAGTGCTGTGTGAAGAGGTAGAATCACTGCAGTGAAGGAAGTTTGGTAAACTCCTTTGATTCATGACATTGATGGGAATTCCCAGAATCTTGACCATTCTTTTTACTAAAATGGGCTTGGAGAAGGACTTGATGAGGAGTCATTTCTGCAAATTTGCTTTAATAGCTCATGTTTACAAATAAAATATATGACCCATAGCTCAATCTCACTACTTAGCTGGTTCTGCAGAAGTACCCATTGTTGGTAAGTCTCATTCAGTGAGCTCAGTACATTACATGTCAGTGAAGTGTAGTCAGCTTCCTCCCACAGGGAGTTCTCTGTGAACACTTTGCCAAAATTGTCACTGATCATCTAGATGCAGAATTCAGTCCTCTGAGCATTCTGCCCTCCGAAGCACCAGGCATCTCTCCCTGAAACATACCTTTCCCTTTGTTTCCATAAAACTACTCTCTTGGTTTTGTCTTTCTTTGGTTACCCCTTAGATTCTTCTCAGCTGCTTTTCCCCTATCAATCCCTTGCATAATGCAAGAAAAGTTTTCCTTTGTAATTTGCTTCTACACACCTCTTATCCATGTACACAGCCTAAAATGGTGCATTGTGAGTCTGAACTATCAGTACAGATCACTCTTCCAAACTTTGTTCATATCTCCACCAGAAAGTACCCCTTGAATGATCCTAGCACTGTTTATGAAGCCAGTTTCACTGGACTGATTGTCTTTTAAAATAACCCTACTTCTTACGCTAACCATTCACCAAGAAATCTGTTTCTCTACCTTTGTCCCTTGCTGAAGAATCTAACTCTCTGGAAGTCAGCCTTGATACACTCTTCCTCCTTCTTCCTCTCCATTAACAAACCTGTTGATTCTACCTTATTTATCTTTCTTAATTATGCCCTATTCTTAATTATGACCACCAAAGTCCAGGCCATCTGTATATATGTGTGTATAGTGTGGTAACTGTAATCCTAATTTTCCAGTGATGGGATCATTTTAATAACTCTCTAACTGTCTCAGAATAAAGCCCAAACTCCTAGGCAAGAATTCATGTAAAGCTCCTGATTCAGACATCTACTTCATCTCCCACTGTCTGTCCTCTTGACTTTTATGCAGAATTAAATTGATTAAGAGAGCAGATCTGGATATAGAAAGATATACACTAGAATTATAGTTTCTGTCATTTTACCAGCCAATTACTGCATTATTGTGCTTTAGTGTAAAATTGTCATAAGAGAGTTGTTGGGAGAACTCTCCCAACATGAACTAAAGTAAGCATACTTGGCACAAAGTAAGTTCAATAAATGGTAGGCATTAATATTGTTATATTTGATGATTTTTTCCCCCAAAGAGATAGGTACTATCTGGGATTATGGGTACTGTTTTCCAATGATATATTCAAAGCATCTAGATGGTACCTGATAAGTATACAGTAAAGTAATGAACAGACTAAATAATTCTATTTGATTAAAAAGTCTGAGATAATGCTTTTATAAATATTTAATCTTCAGTGAATTCTTTGATCCAACTATATTCTCCATCAACCAGAAATTATGTTGGGGAAAACTACCCAATCTCTATTGATCTGGGGGAATGCAAGTACTATAAAGCTGTGTCCTGGGAAGGCAGGAAACAAGTGATGGAACTCAGTAGTGGAAGCTGAATAAATGGTAGACTCATTCACTGCATTGGGATTTCTGGAAAGTGTAGAAGAGGCTGATAGCCCTAAAGTCTCAATTTCTCTACATTTCCCCTTACTTTTTCAGTTGACAGAAATGAGAGTCCTCAAAGAGAGGCCTCATTCTTGGGTGTCTTTCCCTACACCCACACCCTAGGCTTACCATTTGGCCGCATAGGAGGGCTTCGAACCAAAGGGCTAGTTGACAAGCTGGTTAGTACCATTGCTGCAGTCACTTTGTCCATGTCTAGTTCTTCTGAAGATTTTCTGTAAAACAGGAAGGGGGCACGGTCAGCTGTGCTCATTCTGTACAGAATGTGGCCATTCAGGTGCCATATGCTGCTACATATTTACTTCTTTAACTTATCCCCATGACAACCCAGATTTATGTTACAGATGAGGAAGCTGAAGTCCAAGAAGTAAAATGATTCAATAAGAGTTACATCTATCAGGAAGAAAAGGATTCCTTCATTCACTGTTCATCTAACAACTGTTTCCTGAGTATGCGAATGGATGAGATGCTGCTCTGGGCACAAGAGGTGCATGGTGGATAGCAAATATGGTCTGTGGCCATCAGGTTTCATTTTTATTCTAAGTGGAATGGGATGTTACTGGAACACTTTCAGAGCAGGGCTAGTGACATAGTATGATTAATATTTGCAAAATAACACATGAGCTGTAATATGAAGCATGGAGTTTAGGGAAAAGTGAACAGAAATGTCAGATAGAAGATGGTTGCTAGTAGTACAAAGGAGAGAAAGGGGTAGCTTGGATTCAGGGCTGGAGCAATGACAGGTGACCTGGAGGAACTGGCTAGTAAGTGTGGGGAGATAAGAAAGGAAAGATTCAGGATGACTCCAGCTGTCAGATCGAGGATTGGCTGGCTAGAGCCCTTTACTGAGATGAGAGAGACAAATTAGGGGAGTTTAAACTGCAGTGTTACTTTTGTTTTCTCTCTTCCATATACTACTAGTGGAAGAACAGCTCATAGAAGTAGTTATGTTGTAAAGTGCAGAGCCACTGGTAATAGTTCACTGAGATGAAAAGGTTGGCCAAATTAGCCTGAATAAAGGCTGGTAAGGTAAAGATCATGATGACTAGAGTCAGCTTGTTTAAGCTTATTTCAATAAAGAAATTAAAATGAAGAGGTAAACAATTATGTGTACATTTACATCAAATAAATTGTGCTACCGCATGAGAGATGAATATTTTCCAATTAGGGGATACTTGAAGAAGCACAAAGAGGATTAATAAGCCATATCCACAAATGAATTGTCACCTTGACAAATGTGGCTTTTGTTCACAGGTGTGCTGTAAAACCTGTAAAAGCAATGAACTCTAGAGTTGGAAACTCCATAGCATTCCTTCACAGCATATTAAGCAAAAGAAATTCTGACACTGGAGAAAAATGAAATGATTTCCCTGTTTAGGGGGCTGCTCTATTAATTGCATCATAGAAAATTATAAAAACTATTAGTTTGGCTTTTTGATGTCCACCATGATATTAAATTATTCATCAAAGTGAAGTCTTTCAATCTAGGTACCAAAAGAAAGATACCTTTGAAATTTTCCTTTATAATTCTTCTCAAAGTTACTTATGCTCTTTGTCAGCAAACTATTCCATCAGAATACAAATTAATTGTTTCAGTGTCTGACAATTAAAAACATTTCTAGAAAGCAAGCTTGAGTGTGTGCAATGAGATCCCTCCAGTAGAAGTTCTCAAGACAGTGTTAAAAAAATCACTGATCACTTGTTTGGCATATTGTTTAAGATCTTAAAGTAGTCACAGTTTTGAAGTCCCTATACTTAGGACTAAAAGTAATTTCTGTTTCCTGCAGAAATAGGACATCTTGAAACAGCATCCAAGAAAGGGTGAGAAGTACTTTCATGGAATTGCAATTGTTTTGTTCACTCAGTTTTCCCATGTCGTCATGGTCACAGATGGAAGGAAAAAATTGAAGGCCTCTAATTAAATTGAGACCCTCATACCTCCTCGGGGGAGGGTCATGTTGGTGTGGGGCCGCTTAGGCAGGTACTTCCATGACTGAATTATAGGAGCTGCTGACTGTCCTTTCCACCTGTTGTTTTCTCTTGTTAATAGTTTGATAACTAGGATAAGATTCATGTATCTGGTACAGAGAAATGACAGGATTATAGGGAGAAGGTACCTTTATTTGTAAAAGGACTTGCTATCCAGTCATCTCCTTTTCCTTTTTCCATATTTTGTTTGTTTTTCTTTTTTTCTCCCTCTATAAAGTGAATTTTTTTTTTTAGCAATCTAATAATTAATTCTAAGGCTGGACTATGGGAGTTTTCAAATAGGAAGATAAACAACAAATGCACACTATTTAACATACATTGATTTAAACTGCTAAAATATACCACTAAATTTCAAAATAATGATTGAGCTTATAAAGCAGCTTTCTAAGGAGAAATGAAAAGAGGAATAACCATGAGTATAACCAGAGTGTGCTTGCTGAGCTTAAGTTTCCCTCCAGCACTGGAGGTCACTAAGAACAATAACAACAACAAAAAAATCAAAGGAATACAGTTATTCTATCTCTCAGGGACTACTTTAAACATGCTATGTTACCAAGATGATATGGCCTAGTGCTTGGGTGTGTTTTTGTTTGTATCTTTAATTTCTTTGGGTATAGTACTATCTAATTACTGATTAGTTGATGCTATAAATTCCAATCCTTATAATTAAACATGAAGACTTGGTATACAAAGTAGAATCTGTTACACTTTGAGAAAATGTCTGCTGCATAAGCCTTCTGGAGATTTAGAATTATTGGGAAAAAAAGATATTAAATATTCTCTCCTAATTTGAACTTGAACTGGAATCTGCTACTGAAAACCTAACTGATCATATGTTCACTAACGTCTCAGACTTTTTAAATTAATCCTTTCTCCAGACTCCCTTGACTATTATGGAACTTAATAATTAGAACTATTAAAAAAAGTAATACTTGTCACTATATGCCATTTGTCCCTTAAGTTGATCGGGTTCCACAGATAAGCAGGATTTCATGAAGAGAGAAGCAGGGAAGGGAAGCATGTAAGTCCTTGGCTTACTCAGAGACTACATAGCAGGAGGAAGACAGTGGGTTGGGAGATGGAGATGGTGGCAGAGCCTGTGCCAGGTTGTCAGAGAACTGTGTGTGTCAGATCGGATGATCTCTTGTATTCTTGTAAGCGAAGAGAAGCTATTGAAGCTAGATGTTGATGGCTCACACATAATCTTACCTACTTAGGAGGTCAAGATCTAGAGGTCCACAGTTTGAGTATATCCTGGCTAGAAAAGTTAGCTAGATACCATCTCTAAAAATAGCCAGCAAAAAAGGTGTGGCTCAAGTAGTAGAGAGCTAGCCTAGCAAATGGGGACCTGAGTTCAAATTCCAGTTCCTTTCACAAAAAAGCCACTGACTATACATGAATTTGAGAGAGACAATATCAATCTATATTTTAGAAATATTATGGAAAATGCAGTGGAAAAGGAAGAAATTAAAGGTAGGCTACTTAGTTGAATGAAGTCAACATTTAAACTCCAATTGTGAGACCAAAATGGACATGGTACTCTATTCAGCCCGAGACAGATCTTTCTTGATTTCTGCTCTGGATCTGTGTAGAAGAGGCAGTAAAGGTAATGGAGAAGAAAACAGCTCAGTTGCTTATGTGTGACTTTTAGTCCACTCTGCATTACTACCTGTATGATCTTGGGCAAGTTCCTTAAGCTCTGTGAGCTTCTTTAAACCCTGCTTAATCACTTAGATAAGGAGCAAAGCAAATTAGGCTTTTGAGAAGAGTAAATGAAGCATGTGAACACCAGCATAAGCCTTGCCCACAGTCCAAGTTCTAGCAGCTGTTATGACCTTCACATTCTGAATATACCCATTGCTCATATGCCCACAAGGGGGACTACATTCCATTCCATTACTACCCCATTCTTCTTCTTCTGTGTGTGTGTGTGTGTGTATGTGTGTGTGTGTGTGAGAGACTTCTCATAAAGGACAAGACTGTTACAAATTTTTCTGTAAAAGGTAGTAATAGGCAAATGGAGCAGCTGCTGAGCCCCCATGAGGGCTTCAAGTCAGTGCTGTGGCAAAGATACAGCTCAGAATATCATGAGTTTTGGCCATACCATCCAAAGTCTAGCATGCCTGTATGGATGTGATGCTTAAAAGCTTATGCTTTCCATACTCACTGATGGAGCACATGCCATGTGCTAAAGGCTGCAACAGATTAGAGAATTACCGTCTCCTTAAAAACAAAAACAAAACAAAACAAAAAACTCCCAAAAGAGTCCCTGCCTTCCCGAACTCTAGGCTAGAAGAGAATCAGACTTTAATAATATCACTTCTTCAGTACACACACACACACACACACACACACACACACACACACACACACACACAGCAGCATACATGAAATGAAGACATACCTAGGTAAACTGGGAGAATGGGGTGAAGGTTGGAAGAAAGCATGGGTACCACCTACCTCTGGGGTGGAACAAGCTTTTGGTAAGTGGAAGAGAGATGGCAAGGCTGCATTAGAAAGGGACAGAGGACAGAGTGGACCAGGTAGTGCCCCTGGGAAGGAAGAGCCCATGGGAACCTCCACGTTCTGTGAGGGTTTTCAGCTTTGTCTTCAAGGGTGGGGTGGGGAGAGGCTGGACAAGGTTCCGTGATACTATCAGATTTGCAGTTCCAAAATGCTCAGCTTGGCCGCCGTGTGGAAAATGAGTTTTTTGAGTTTGACAATCTATTGTCTGAGGACTGGCTTGCCTGCCGACGGTGGCAGCATGCTGGTGAATGACATCATCTGAGACATGAAGAGGCAATCAGCAAGTGCGGGCACACTGGTGGACAAGGCTCTGGGGCTCTGGGGCTCATGCACCGGTGGGTGGCTGGTGTGGCTGGGAGTCCAGTGAGGCTATGCTTACAAGGTCAGTCATGGTTTGTGCTGTAAGAAGCTTTTTCTTCCTTCAAGTTACTTTCAGTGTGAATGTCCTGTGCTTGCACAGTGTACACAAACATGTTCTGCCCTCACTATCAGTCCTATCAGCTAAGGGGGTGTTTTACACCCTAAACAGCTATAAGACATTTATCTGCAATTAAAGTGCTGTGGTAACAAGTGGAAATAAAAAGGAATATACTTTCCTTAAACTAGCACTAATCTAGTTACCTTAGCAACCACTGAAATCTTTTGTGTCTAAACTTTTTTTGGGAGGGGGTAGTGTTGGGAATCAAACCTAAGACCTTGT